AGCCTTGTGGAACACCAGCATAAATAGACTTGTAAATGGAGCATATACTTTCTACTACGACTTTGTTGCTCCAATCTGCAAGATAACTGCTGATCCATTTGCAAAAATTCTCGGGAAGCCCATAGGAAGGGAGCTTCGAAAGAGGCGCTTTGAGCCAAACCCGATCGAAGGCCTTCGCTGTCGAAACTATTGGCCAGGGTCTCCCTCTCTGCCTCTGCCTATTTATGAGTCAGGTAACCCAGAAGATCACCAGCTGCGCAACCCCGACGGAAATCGTACTGGCGGTCACTTTTCAGTTGGTGATCCTCAACTTCATGATCTGGCAGTTCACAATAGTTTTAATTATTTTGGAAAACAAGTTGGATAGGTCTGAGCGGTCGATTTTCGGTAATTTTTTTAGGAATTTGGTGTCTTCTTTGAGTTCGGGATTACGCCTAGGGAGAAAGGGAGCACACGTCTTCAGCACAATGGGAGGAACTCCATCAGGCCTACTAGACTCGACGTCTAGGGACAGTAGTGCTATGCGCACCGAGCGCTGTGTAAACGGTATTGTACCGACTTGAATGCGAAATTATACTTCTTTTTAACAGCGTTGGTGAAGCACTCCTATTATAGCGCGATGCAATTTTAGAGGAGCGACCAAACCAGGCACCACAGATGATAGAATAATAAGTCCCATTCCCTGAAGTACCACATCAGTGATAGAAGCACGTTGGGATCATTTGGCGAGAAGAATACCCGCCGCTGTCGTTAAAGGAAGGATGCAAAAAAAGATCGCATCCTGTCCCAATCCTAACCAACAACAACCTATAGTGCCAAACACGGCGGCGATTTGCAGAACGCAACCGCGATGGGAGTGTGAGTGGCACCATAGTTCAGATCAGACAATGGTCCCATGAGTCAAGAGGGGCGTCGACGGAGACCTGATATCCGTCTGAAGAAGGTAAAACAGCGAAGGTGCAAAATCCTCTACATCTAGAATCCGCGTAGGTGAAGTAACCATTTGTGTCTGACCATATGCCAAGGCAAAGTCATAAACCGATTTTCCGGCATGATCGATTAAACGAGAATCAAGCCCTTCAGCGTGGTAGCCGTTAGGCTACCACTATTAATATTACCACTATTTAATATTTTAACAAATCACCAAGGATCATGATCTCTGACGGGACCTGTTGTAGCACGGAGTCTGCAGCGATTTGATATTCTATATCTCTCCAGGATACACGAGGCAGCCTAAGCACCCGCTCTAATATTTAATTACACTACCATGACAAGGGGGAGAGGGCTTAGGCCTTCGACCACCTGCACTTAACCGGCGAAGTAAACTTCTACTTCACGCTGGTTATCTGTAAGGTCATGGATCTCCTCAGTTTGAGCCGGTCCACCCATTCATTACAGCTCCTTATTTCATGTCTTACCAGGTTGTCACTCCATCTAGTCTGGCTTACCCTTGCGAACTTCCATTGTTATGTTGTCTGCCTATATTATTAACTGTAATCTACTTCATTATTGTTTATGCGTTACACAATACTTAGTAGTAAGTAGCTATGCTTTATTATGACCTGCAGTGGAGCTGTTGATGAAGTATTTTTACACCTTTAAAGTATTTAGTTTAGTTTAAATAGGATCCCAATTTCATTTTTGCCCTAGGGCCCTTGATTACATAGCTACGCCTTTGACTACGACACTTGTATCTCTCACTTAACCTCAAAGCAAAGTCTTAAAAAGAAGTAGTTAATTATGTAATTAACAAGAGTATGAGTTACAAATTTGACATAATATATTTTTACATTTCCTACAGTAAAACAAGGTTAATGTGACAGTACACATTATTGCTTTAGGTCATTACCTACTTGAATATAAATTATTTGATATAAAATTTGTGGAATAATGGGTTGAAATTTAGAATCGTTTGGCAGGACTGTCTCCCTCCACACAGTCTGCTCTCCCTCCGCGCCTACAGCTTTACAAAAACACTCTAGGAGTAGGGCAGACAGGATTACATGGAGTCGGGGCTTACTGTTTTAATTTTAATACAGATTCGATCAGATCAGATATCTTATCTATAAAGTCAGGTTGTCTTCGCTCCCGCCACAACCTTCTAACCTATTACAACTGAAATTATTTCTGGGTATTCAAGTATATCTGGGCAGATTTAACCAATTCAGAAATAAAACAGTATATTATAATCATTTCTTTATTGTCTGTAAACATAATTTTTTTTATTAATTCCTCAAAAGGATATCTTTTATTCCTTATAATTTCTCTTCTCCATAAATATTCATACATCAAGTCTGTAAAATTTTCTCTATTATTATAGTTGTCTTTGCGAAATATCTCTTGACAGAGAGTATAGACAGTAGAATAATGTGACACTAGCCTTACGTCCTTTTCACACTTACACAAAATTCTGTATGCTATCCAGCTTTCACAGTAATTTTTCCATGTTTTACGCATTTCAGGTTATAATAGTTTTTATTTATTTTACGATAACGGTGCATTATCTTTTAATGTGAGTGGTATTATTATAATCGGGGACCAAATCTCTACCAAATAAAACACCGTACTCCGCCAAATTCGTGCCAAAAGATTATAAATCCAACCCGTTTTCTACTTATGCCTTATCAATTATAAATGGACGTGGTTATGCAAAAAGGGTCCAACCCGAATTTGTGTCAAAAATGTTGACTTGAAAAATAATGTTTGTGGTCTATACTATTATGTGATGTAACAATTTTAGCAAACGTAACACAAATAAGAAGAAAATTACAAACAGACAAAAACCATACCGATAATTTGAGTTTGTGATATTTGAACTATGGATACACGTGTGCGGACCACTTGAACCATAATTGCAACTGCCAGGTCCTTAAACATATAACGTCCACAAGATACTTGGGAATTATTGTTGATGAGTGTTTAACTTGGCATTCGCATATTGAGATTGTTACATCACGGGTGCACAAATTTATATGGATTTTTAAAAATTTAAGATATGTGATGCCTCAGAAGACACTAAATAGCATCTATATTATGCTTACGCAATCAGTTCTTACATATTGTTTACCAGTCTGGGGAGGAGCCACTAAAATTAATTTCCTTGAGTTAGAAAGAGCCCAAAGGTCACTTATAAAAGTCATGTACTATAAACCATACAGATACCCCACCGACGTTCTATATAGAATCAGTGGCTTACTTTCAATTAGAAAACTATATTACTTAATTACGGTCCTATACTTACAAAAATCTATTCCATTTAACCAAGACAGTCAAGAGAGGAGACGAAAAGACATAGTGGCTTACTCCCTAAGGGTCCGAACCGCTTTTGCACGGCGTCAGTATGCAACCCAATCAGTCTACATTTATAATAAAATAAACGTAAAATTAAAGTTCCGCCATGAGGTATCACACGTATGCAAAAAGGTAATAACTGAGTGGTTAAAAACCTTAACATACGAAGAAACTTAACAAATTTTAGATAGACGTAGTTAAGCAATTTTTTTTGCTTCTTTCTTATCAATAATGTATGTCCTCACCGAGCTTAATCTATTACATGCACTTCGAACACACCGGTACTACAAAGAAGACACACATTCACACACATAAACGCACGCACACACACACACACACACACGCACGCACGCACGCACGCACGCACGCACGCACGCACGCACGCACGCACGCACGCACGCACGCACGCACGCACGCTCGCACGCACGCTCGCACGCACGCACGCACGCACGCACGCACGCACGCACGCACGCACGCACGCACGCACGCACTCACGCACGCACGCACGCACGCACGCACGTTCGACAGCACAAACACTGTTTAAAAACAAGATGCACTACAGTTGCACACAGGCGTACAACTACGGTTACACAAACAGCTAATGATTACTTTATAAGTCACTTACTGTTATTTTTTCTTCATAAATTTATCTTTACTTACCTTTTGTATAATAGTCTCAATATTGTTAATAATTAAGGGAAAGAGCTAGATAGCCCCAACACAAGTATTATCAATTACTTACTGGGGATGTCTCATTTATAATTCATGTAAATGTTTTAAGACAAACATTTTCATTTTCATTTTTCAAACATCAAATAATGTTTGTGGCCTATACTATTATATGATGTAACAATTTTAGCAAACGTAACACAAATAAGAAGAAAATTACAAACAGACACAAACCATACCAATAATTTGAGTTTATGATATTTGAAGTATGGATACTTCAAACATCAAAAACTCAAATTAACTTATCGCGGATTGGATCCTTTTCGCATAACTACGTCCAAATTATTATATTGCATAAATGTGCAGTGATAGAATATATTAATAGACTAAATACAAAAAATATTTTTTTCCCCACGAGGCATTCTATAGGGGAGGCCTATGTGGACTTTTATAGGCTATAATGGAAAATGAAATCGAATTGTCACTTTACTGACATGCAAATTGTCCCCACATAATATGGCTATTTTAAATAGTATCTCTAAAACACTAAGAATGCAATCCTGTTATACAAAACAATTTTTGGCTGTGTAATAACGTGACATGCTCATACATTACACATTAAAATAAACATCAAAACATTTGTGAATAAACAGTCTCTATATTTTAATATTTAGCAACTCATATTTGTGATTTCACTTTGTACTGAGAGTTTATAGTTCATTCTATTGAAGCAATAGTCACATTAACCACACTCGTGTAGAAAACTCACACTAAGGCTACTTATAGTAATTGGCTACTGCTGGCTATGGACACCCTCAACCAACTTTAAAGGTAGGAGGCGATAAATGCTTTGTCATCTCTGAGGACTAATATAGAACGCCTCAGAGCCTGTAATTATAGTGTCTTTCTATACCTTTCAGACAAGTAACAGTGCACGCACTGATGCGCATACACCGATGAACTCCTAAGCAGAAAAATAATCCTACTACCTAGTAGCAGCCTTCTGTTTTTGCTTGCAATGTATATGGGAAAAAACAAACCTGTAAAATGCTGGTATCCGCAGTACAATGGACTTTTACTCTTCTTCCGTTTGGAGCAAGTACAACCATATCTCTTGACATCTTTTTTCGTAAGCGTATCTATTGAGATAGAGAGAAATTTGCCGGTGATTTCAATTTTCAAATCAAAGCGAACGTAAATAAAATATTAGCTGCATTTCGATTATGACAGTGACAGAACAGAATGACAGATTTTTTTAAATTGGCTTTACGGCTCTGGGTTCTAGCCCTTCTGAGCCTGAAGTTACAATGATACTATAACTTTACGATACATTGATACATTCATCAAAAATTCACTTTCACAATGATTCACAGTTTGTTTACGTTTGCACTATTGATTAATATCACGTTGTTCTCATTTTTATATATCTTGGACACCAGATATAAAAGAATATAATGGTCGGAAGAGTTTTTCATCAGCTAATAAACTTTGAAGAGTATCAGGAATTTTATCATTGTCAATATCTTGAATAGAATTAATGAGGAGTAATCTATTCAAACCAAATTGACTGTATTGAAAAACCAGATGTTTTAGGTCTCCTTACGTGTCTCCACAATATTCACAATTTGCATTTTCTTTCATTCCCAAACCTTACAGGTGGGCGGCTACTCTGCTATGTCCAAATCTCATTCGGTTTACAGTCGTAATGAATTTTATATTATTAATCCCTTTTTTGTTGTACCAAGGAGTGGCTGGCGGGCTTTTTTGTATTTCATAATACCAAATTCCTTTGGACTTGCTTATTTCTTCCCAGTATGCCTTCCATAAGGATCTCAAGTTCTTGCTTAACAAGGCATATATATCTGTAAATGGTATTTCCAGCATTATCGAGTGGTCTGAACATGTTGATGAGAATACTTCTCTAGTAGCAATGTCTGTTTCCTCGTTCCCAGTTATCTCAGAGTGTGAAGGGACCCACATAAAGGTAACAGTCTTCTTTACTTTACTGAGATTGTTTAGTAAGTTTCTTATATTATATATAATGTAATTTTTTTTGTAATTCATTTTGTTAGATACAATAGCTGTTATAACACTTTTTTAATCAGTTACAATTAGAAACTGTGAATTCGCAATGTTTTTTATGTACAATAAAGTTAAGTAGATTGCATAACATTAAGCTGTAAAAATAGAGCATAAATTGTGAATTTTAAAAGTTTTAAAGTAAAAAAAAGCGAAATATACTTTATTGTACACCAAGGAACATATTACAGTATTTATATATTTAAAACGACATTGGTACAACAGGCGGCCTTATCGCTAAAACAGCGATCTCTTCCAGGCAACCTTAGGGCAGAGGATACTATTTTTAAAAGATAGCGGAAGGGGTGTACAGAATATAATATAGAAAGATAAATAGAAGAACATAAGTGATTAAAGGAAAAAAAATAGTGAATGACGACAGGTAGTAACTTAAGAGGAAAGATTTAGTTTTAGATATTTTCTTTTGTGAATCATAAAATGCTGAAGTTGTGTACTCTGATTTTGATCCATCTGTATATATTGTATAAAAATCATTATCAGCTAGATATCTTAACATTTCCATTTGAGAATTCACATTTTCTTGACATACAGAAACATTAATGTTCAGTAAAGCATCATATTCTATTTTATATAAAAGCCATGGTTTACTTTTATACACATTTTTGGTTTGGGTCTATGAGTATAAAATAATCCTTAGGATGTCTGGTAATCGACCAGATAAAAGCATATTTACATCAATGTATGAGCTATCATCAAGCACAATATCAGGCTTATTCGCAAGAATAGTCCCGTCTGTGATGATGGCCCGGTCCCAGTAGAGCCTGGTGAGGTCATTTTCAAGCACGGCTTCCGGCAAGTAATTATAATATGGCAGTATTTGATCCACGAGACCGTATTTCAGAGCGAGCTCCTGGTGTAGAATCCTGGCTACTAGGTTATGTCTGTGCAAATACTCAGAGTTAGGAAGCGCCGAACAACTGTAGACGACATGCCTAAGTGACTCAGCGGGATGGCGACAAGCTCGATAGATGTCGACGGCGCCATCCTTTAGGATGTATTTCCGATAATTGTTGGTCTTAATAACCTGATTTTGTGTCGCACAGACAAAACCCTCGGTTTCCCCAAAGAGGTCACCGAAACGTAGCCAGTGGAGGGAGGCGACTGCGTCTACGCAAGGCTCATGTAGAGCCTTCTAGAACCTCCCGTGGGGCTCCTTCTCCTTCCATACGGTCTCCCGGTGTTCTGTACTGCCGGGTCTTGCCATTGCTCGTTGGCTAAGGATAGAGGGGTAAGTCCTTTATCACAAGAAATAATGTCCCTATAAAATGGATCATCTGCTCTCGTCAGAAAGTAATTCCGGAGGCTGCACACTTCGCGATTAAGCATGGTAAGCGCGCTTAAAAAGCCGTGTCCATCATGCTTCCGCGGCAAGTACAGCCTCATTACTGACGATCTCGGATGATTCATCCTGTTGGACGTCATAATAGTGCGGACTTTTCTATCCAGAGCGTTTAGTTCAGTCTGAGTCCACCTGAGTATGCCAAATGTATACATGAGAACAGGCATGATTCAACCGTTATATGCGTGTGTCTTAGTAACGCCCGACAAAAGACTGTTAAGCACTTTTGTCAAGCGTGCATAAAACACATCGCAAACTGACTGCCTCATGTCCGCCTCATCGATACCTATGTTCTGTGACATACCCAGGTATCGGTATGTTTCAGTCTTGGAAAGGGTCTTTATGTTGATGGGCATAGATAAGTTTATGCCCTCAGATTTAGCAACCCAACCCCTTTCGACATGGAGGACCGCACACTTATCCGTCCCCAGCTCCATTCTAATAGAATTGCTAAAATCACAAGTGATGTTAAGCAATTCCATAAGATGAGAGCGACTGAAGGCGAATAATTTGAGATCATCCATATAGAAAAGGTGGGTCACTGTTGTACCTCCCCCTTCCGAAGCTGAAATCCCCTCCCGGAACCCTCCAGTAAGGTACTGAGAGGGTTCAGGGAGAGGCAGAACCTGATTGGACTCAAACAATCGCTAGATAGATAACAAAGGATCGTACTCCACTGCCCCATATACTGACCGAGGAAGTCTCGAACTGTACAGTCAACCTTGTATAGCTCGAGGACCCTCTTAAGCCATATATGAGGCACCGAGTCGAATGCCTTTTTATAGTCTATCCAGGCGGCGGAGAGGTTTCGACGGTTGCGTTTAACCACCTTGCCAATGACCGCGTCAATGAGGAGTGGTTCCTTGGTTCCACGACCACCGCCCCGGCATCCATTCTGAGTGCGCGACATCACCTGATTTTAGTTCAGGTGACGAGTGATTCTCGCGCTCAAAATGGATGTTAGTGTCTTGTATATGGTAGGTAGACACGTTATGGGGCGGTATTTGCTCGGGTCTGTGGAATCCCGGTCTTTAGGAACCAAATGAGTGATCCCAGTAGTGATGCAGTCCGACGAGTCCCGGACTTTTCCGGTTCGGGGCCCTACGGACCGCCTCAGCTACGTTATCCGGCGTTATGATGACGGGGTTCATGGACGTGACATTCGCACACTGACTCGCCACAACTTCCGTCCAAGGGCCCTCGCTGTGGTTTACGGGCTCTGACCACAGGCCGCGCAAGAATGCGATAGTGTCGGCCTGATTCGGTACTGGGCCCGTTCCACGTACCACTGGTCGCTCCAATGATTCATAGAGCCTCTTCTGATCACTCTGGAAGAGACGATTCTGGTTGAACCGTGTCGACCTCTCGGTATATCGCTGAATCCGCTTCCCCCAAGCAGCGATTCTCTGCTTCAGGTCATCTATGCGCTCCGTCAGTTTTTGCGTTATATCCGGCTGGGACAAACTGATATTTGTCGCAGCAAACGCCATCCTGACGGTGCGCACAATTCTCGGCCTATTATTGCCCGACCTGAAGCTTATCAGCCTGCCTATGAGGGCCCTTGCCTTTGCGATACGGTCCTCAATCCTTCTTCTCCAGGCTGGGATGGCGCTACTTTGTCTAGTAGCGCGTGCAGCCGTGGGAAGCTTGGCACCAATAATACGGGAAACTGCCAGTGCGGCGCCAAAAAGAATTGAGTCCGTCTCGCAAAGGTCCCAGCTGGCTCCAAATAGGTCACCAGCATTGGGTTGAGAGCCCTCACGACAGCCCGATTCCGCTTGCTTAGGGGTATACGGGGAAGTCGCGGTCGATTTTCGAGAGGCGTACAGCGCGTTTCTACAATCGCATTCTCCAATTTACTCCTCATCTGCTCTAGTTCTTGGGTGACCATTCCATCATCGCCTGAATCAACCAAAGCCGTGTACCGTTTAACAGTGGTAGAGCCACGCGGCAGCTTTTGTTGTCGCACGGATGGGCCGGCTCGAACCGGGGTAGTACCACGACCTCACAGAATACCAGCGTGAAGTAGAGGTTTACCTCTGCGTTTCGCTTGGTGAGTGCAGGTGGCCGGAGGCCCTATTTACTGGAAATGAGGCATTCCATCTTAGTCCTCACGGGTGACAACGCATCTGCATTTTCATTCGCAAACGAGGATAGATGTAGATGTCTATGAGCCGCAGCAACCACTTACCATCAGGTGGACTGTGTGCTCGTGTGTCACCCTTATCCTATAAAAAAAAAGCCGGAAGATCCATGGCGGCTTCCACATATGGCTGCTGGTCTATGACCTTAGGAGCCGCATCGCCAGTTATATCTGGTTCATTCGATGAGGGAATAGCCTCACGCCGTAGTCGTTCGAGTTCGGCATCATCAAATATGTGTATGATTTACCGAACTCGGTCTGCCAGGGTTTGCTCTGTGATGGGAACAGACGGCTCCAGCTCAGCAAAAAAGTGATGCATCCGAGCCTGATACGCTATCCCTCCAGTTTCTTCCCCTTTCGCCCTATAGTACGCCCGCAATGCGTTTATGTTCATATATTTTGTTGTTTCACCAGCGGCGGGTGCCGCTTGCCGAGTCCGAGAGGACCCTGCCGACACCAAGCCGTCTGGTGGGGATGATGGATGCGAGGTGCTGCTAGGTGGTTGTGCAGCAATTCGCGCTCGGCTGGCGGCCCACATG